TTGGCAGGCTGAGGCCCGAGGATCACCATGAGTCCAACACCAACCTGGGCTACACAGTAAAGTTCAAGGCCAGCCTGCACTACATGACAAGACCGTGTCTAAAAAAAAATAGGAGGGGCCTCACTCATCCATTTGTTCAGCATGTTTTCAAATGTGAGACGAGCCAAGGAGAGGGGGAAGAAACCACCTCCTACAGGCAGGAGAGAACCAGCAGCCCCAGGGAGCTCGACCCAGACTTCCCACCTCACCAACAGTCAAGGCACGTTCCTGCGGACAGCACAGCCAGGTCCAGAGCTGGAGGACTGCTGAAAAGGTCAGCGTTCTGGACACTGCCCAGAACAAACAGCAGGATATGGACGTCAGGGAGGAGGTGGCCAGATGCGTGGGCAGCACCACGGCAGGGCAGGTGTGCAGCAGGGAGGAGGAAACGTCACACACACACACACATACACACACACACACACACACACGTACACCCCAGCAGCCGGGGCCATGTCCTCCCCTCCAGGCCTTGAGTTTGAATGGAGGAATCCTGGGGAAGCACAAGCGCTGCTCTGTCCATGTCAACCTTGCCAGTCCCTTGGGCCAGGCTCCCGAGCCACAGCTCCCAGTTCTGTCCTGAGCCTCCCACCTGGACCAGCACCTCGGCAGCCAAGAACCCTCCAGGGGGAAGCCAAAGCAGCCACGCAGTAGATGGGTTAATACCAGCCAAGCCAGGTCCAGCTTCCCCAAAGCAGAAGCGCAGGGCCACCAGGACCTTGTGCTCACCACCCATTGGTTGCAGCAGGCACTGCAGGTACCGCAGGGATGGACTGGCCGCATCATTCTGGGCCGGCGAGGGGAGCATATCACAGTGCAATCGACAGCCACAAGTCTGGCTTGTGCGTCAAGCCTCAGAGATAAGTTCCAGGATGAAGTGGGTGCATCAGAATTCACCGAGTACAAATTTGATGAGTTTCAAAGCAGTAGAGTAAGGAGACAATAGGAGGAAGAGCAGAAAAAGAATTCTGAAGATTCTTAACAGACTCGAGAAACAGGTTATCAGCCTGAGTCCTAACAGCTGAATCTTGGAAGCAGCCTCCATGTCCCTCAACAGAGGAGTGGTAAAGAAAACATGGTAGGTACACCCACTGGAGTACTACCCTGCCATAAAGAAGGATAAACTTGAGTGATTCGTAGAATACATGCACCTGGGGACCATGTTCAGTGCAGCAAATGAGACACACCAGCCTGAATTTCACATGGCTTCTCTTATAGGAGAAACTCAGATTATAAGGAGGAAAATAAAAGACACAGGGTAGGGAGCTTTAAGGAGCTCTATGTGGGCCGATAAGAGGCTTTCTTGGGATGTAACAATGCTCACGTTTGGTTGGGAGTCAGGGGGTTTCGATGTGGCCCATGCTGCCCCAGGGAGGCGATTTTGAGAAAAGTAGTGATAAGGCATCGGCTCCTGGACTAAAATCCCTGCTCCTCTAAACAGAGGGACACTGAACACAAGCCCCAGAGGAGGGAGACAGATCTTTCCCAACCAGGAGCATGATCAAGAGAGGGAGGAAAGTGACAGGCAGGAGGGCGAGGAGGGAGAAGCAGTGAGGATGTGCTCTGGGCATGCCCCTCCTCGCCAGGAGCACCCCTCCTCACCAGGAGCGCCCCTCCTCACCAGGAGCACCGTCCTCCGCACTGCAAACACCCACTAATAAAAAATGAAGAAATGCGCTAACCAATAACAGATGTGAATCTCATCTGCCTCTTTTTTTTCTTTCTGCATTTAGGACAGGGGCTACAGGGTATATAGGGTCTCACTACATAGATCGGACTCTCAGTGATCCTCCTGTTTTCACCCTCCCAAGCGCTGGGGTTACAGGCACACGCAAGCACGCCCAGTCTCAACCCCCATCTCAGCATGCCCCAGGGGGTGGGGCTGGCACAGCATGCAGGGGAGCGAACCCTGGCCGTTTTGCTCTGTGTAAGCAGACGCTTTAGTCTGCTAAGCTATCAGGCCTGCCCTTCTTTTGCCTCTTAATTCAAATAAACTACTAAAGAATGAGGAGCTGAGTTAGCGGGAAATTGAACACCGACTAGGTATTTGCTGTTAAAGAACTAGTTTTTATGTGGTGATACTGAGTGTTTGGTGATATAATGCTTTCTCCTGATTCTGCTTTTTTTAGACACTGTATCAATGAATGAGAGACGCCTGGGAACGGCTTTGCATGCATCCAGTAGGAATGGAGTCTGGAAGAAACTGCATGGCCGTGAGTTAAAATTTCTCGAAGCTAGAGGCTAAGCGCCCAGAGTTTGTGTGCTGCTGGGCATATTTTGATTTTGCTGATGACAACTGAAAATGAAGATGCAAGCAATCTGGAAGGAGCAGGGTGGTCAGTTCCTGGGACTGACCTGAGCTTCTCCATGGAACCAGCCTCTGTCCTCACTGTACCCCACTGTGGGCCTGGCAGCCTGTGTCCCCAGAAAGCCCCTTCTGTAATGTTGGGTGACAAGGAATCTGGCCAACCCACCTTCAGGGAGGAAACTTGGGAGCAAGAACCGGGACAGCAGTGTAATGTGGCTTCACAGCGTCTCACAGCAGGAATGACCCTGGTCTGGTCGGGGTGATGAGGGAGTCACCCCCTCTAAGGGTCCTGTAGGAGTGAGGGACCTGGGCTGGCAGACAATGGAAGTGACAGAGGTGGCAGGGACAAAACCAGCAGCGAGAGGGACCAGGTTTCTGGCTCTGGGCAGAAAGGGGTGAGACCCTCTTGGGTGAAGCCAAAGGAGGTTCTGCTGGGACAGGCTCTTCCAGGAGGGACAGGGCTCCTTCCTCTCCACCCAGCCTGCCTTCTCCTGGGCACCCCACAGGAGGAGGAGGTACCTCCCAAAGACTGTGCTACCTCAGTTTAGGATAGTGGGGGACACGAGGGACACCCAAGATTCCCGACCCTCACACAAGACCCCTTTCCCATTACCAGAAAGAAGCCACAATCCACTAATACCCCAGCCACACAGCAGAGAAAAAGCCTAGAGTGGCTCCTGGTCACCACCCCGCTGTGCACTCTCATAGTTTCAGGGGTGAGTGCAGTCCCCGCCTGGGCAGCTTGACTAAATCAGAATGAATGCAGCTGAATTAATTCATACCTGCTCTTCACACTTGGGCATGAAAAAGAGACTTCGACAAGAACAAAGTTATAATGCTTTAATAATTTAAATAGAACCAACATCAGGGATACATGTACACATACAGAAATTCTGAACACACAATATCATATCATTGCATGGTATATTTAAATCCATCAAATTCTTAAAAATCCCCCCAAATGGACTTAGTGTCAAGGACAGAAAGAGGTAATTCTGAAGGGCTACAGACCCGAGTAAAATAGATAAGTCCATCGCTTTGCATATACTAACGCGACAACCACCCGTAGACACGTGAGACTTTCGTAAGAACACTTGGAGGACTGTCAGGACAAAGGGTTGCTCAAAACGAATACAAATGATCTCAAAAAGATGAATTGATAAGTCCTCACAGTCACACTTATTTTTACTTTAAAATACCAAACATAAGCTGAGTGCTCAGAATTCTACCTAGAAGCGTCTAAATATGGAGTTTCTGTCTAGACCAGGTTAGATTATAAAAAGAACTCAAAAGCAGCCACTGTACTTCAGAGACTCAATCTACAGAAAGGCATCTATCGGGAAGAGGTTTTGTAATAGAGGGGTTTTTTGTTTTGGTTTGGTTTAATTTTTTTGGCAGAACCAGGGATTGAACTCAGACCCTTGAGCTTGCCAGGGAAGTGCTTATTCCACTGAGCCATCTCCCCAGCCCCCATAATAGAGGTTTTAAAATCAGAAAAAAACAAACTAAAAAAACCCGTCCCTGCCTGCCGTCCTGCTCCATAATAGGCTAAAGAGCACAGTAGCAGGCACAGGACGGCCAGCGCGACAGCCAGCTGTGGGGAGCTCTGAGGAGCTCAGGGTTGGCTGCTAAGAGGCTTTCTTAAGACATGACAATGCTCATGTTTGGTTGGGAATTAGGGGATTGCAATGTGGCCCGCCTGCCCCAGTGAGGCGACTTTAAGAATAGTATAAGGCATCGGCTCCTGGACTAAAATCTCGGTTCCTCTGATCACAGGGACACCAAACACGAGCCGCAGGGGCCAGGGGACAGAAGCAGAGCCCCAGCTTGTGCACAGCCACCAGCGTGCAGCTGGGGCTCGCAGCCGGGGCCCTGCGAGAAGCTCAGACACAGCGCTTGGTAAGATCCGAACTGTGCCGCGCCGTGGAGCGCACCGAGCACGCGCCTAGGACACTTCTCAGGGCCGCAGAGCCCTGCGCCCCGGACCGCGCCGTGTATGTAGAATGATGGCTTTGTGGGGGAAAAGGCAGAAGTGTCTACACTCTAAGTGGTGTCGAGTCCTCCTCAAGGCACAGAGAGTTCAGCGTCCAAGCCCCTGTACGCGACATGAGAATAAACTCGTAAACGACTCCAGGAACGGAGGCCCTGCACTCGAATAGAAAAAAAGAGAAGGTAGAAAAGTGCCTTTTAACTCAGAGCATCATAAGAGAGATATCCCACCGCCTGAGGTTACACCCGGGCAGTTCATAAATCCGTGGAACACTGTGTTCCCGGTGGGTCCGCAAACGTGATCCAAGAGGTCTGTTAGCCTGGGAATCCACGGAGCGGCGGATCCACGGCCGCAGACCCAGACCCCCGAGCGCTTCGGGCATTCACCACTTCTGTCCGAGGAGGAGAAAGCGGGCGCTGGCCACGCTTCCGGCTGCTCCTGTGCAGAGGGGCCAGATTACGGCAGGACCCCCACGCAGCGCGCAGGTCCTCCTCCTTCCGGGCACCCTCGGGATTTGGCTGGGCAGTGACTTGCACGCTAACACTATCAGCAGTTCCCTTAATACTGCCGCTAAAAAGTGGCAAGAAGAAAATAGAGGGCTCACCCCTTCCACAATTAGTTTTATTTGACTTTCTATAAATAATTCTTAAATACAATTGGCGACAAGTTCACATCTGTAACATCTGGAAATGGAATGTGTACGAACAACGAAGACACAGTGCCGCTAAGCGGCAGGATCCGCACGCTGCACGTCGGGCTCAGCTCTTGATGAGCGTCAGGAACTCCTCCCGGGTCTTCGGGTCCTCGCGGAACACGCCCAGCATCGTGCTGGTCACGGTTTTGCTGTTCATTTTCTGCACCCCTCGCATTACCATGCACATGTGTCTGTGGGACAAGACAACCAAGGCCGTGGGAAGGAGAAGACCGTGAGGGCCAGAAACAGAACAAACAAGCCAAGAGAGTAGCCGTGGCTCAGTAAGTGTGTCAAAATATGCCACTGAGATGAATTACCTAAAATGTCCTTTCTTTTACTTTCTTTTCTTTTCTTTGGATATAGGGTCTTGCAACATAGTCCAGGGTGGCCTTGAGCTCACTATGTAGCCCAGGCTGGCCTCGAACTCACGGCAAGCCTTCTCCCTCAGCCTCTCAAGTGCTGGGATTATAAGCCTGTACCACCACACTTGGTGAGTTCAAAAACAAATTTTAAAAAAACATAAAGCACTTTCTTTTTAAAAAAAAAAAAAAACATCTTCAATTGTTCTTTGTACCAATTCTTAGTTTCTCTCCTCTATTTTTCAAATGTGAATGTGGAACAAAGATTAGGAAAACTGCTTAGGTCCACCAAAGAAGGCAAAAAGGAAAGAGGAGGAGGAGGAGGAGGAGGAGGAGGAGGAGGAGCAGGAAGAGGAGGAGGAGAACAAGAAAAAGGAGGAGGAGGAGAAACAGGAGAAGGAGGAAGAAGAGGAGAAAGGAGGAGGAGGAGTAAGAGGAGGAGATGGAGGAAAAGAAGGGGGAGGAAGAAAAGGAGGAGGAAGAAAAAGTAGAGAAGATGGAGAAAGAGGAAAAAAGAGAAGGAAAAAGAGAAGGAGAAGGAGGCAGAAGAGGAGGAAGAGAAGGAGGAAAAGGAGGCACAAAATATCACTGGTTGCACAAATCCTTGCAACCAGGATTCCCTGATCTCTGCCTAGGGTTCCCTCTGCCTCTACTGCTCTCAGAAGGAAAACCTCCCTCTGAGTCTGGCTCCCACATCAGCAATACAATGAACAAACGGTGGCTTTGGGCCCAGAAAAGGGGGTCCGCAGTGGCTGGAGTCTAGCACTGACTGTGCCCCACGGTGGGGTTATCAGAGGCCGGGTCCCACTTACGTGGCTTCCACCACCACCCCGACTCCCGCAGGCTGCAAAGCTTCGGTGATGGCCACTGCGATCTGCTTGGTGAGACGCTCCTGAACTGCAGGTGTGACAGGGGCTCGGGTTACGAGACTCATGAGACTGCGACAGGTGTGTGTGTGTGTGTGTGTGTGTGTGTGTGTGTGTGTGTGTGTATGTGTGTGTGTGTGAGTTATCTGAAAGCTTAAAAAGCAGGCTGCTGTGACACTGAAGAGCCACGACACTCCAGCTTTTGCCGGCAGGCTCTGGCTGCTGACCAAGCCACAGGTGTCCCCTTTCAATCCTCTCTTCATCTGCATGACAGGTGTTAAGAGATGTTGGGCCACAACCCAGTCCACGACCTGCAGGGTTAACACGCGGCCCCCACAGAGGCAGAGTGCAGCAAATTAATAAACAGCTTGCGACAGGATTCACAAAGGGGCTAATTACTGAGGTGGTACAAGCCAGCGATTTAACATACATAATACAGTTCTTCAGCTGACAAAACACCTTAATGCGCTCGTCTTCACTGAAGCGCGCCCTGGTGGGAACCTGAGGAAGCCCGCCCTCGCCCACTGAGCAGATGCTGACTGCATCAGGCTGCCCTGCCAGACAGGGCTGGGGGAAGCCACAGAGCCAAAATGAATGAGAAGAGGGGAAGTGTTTAAGATCTGCTAAATGGGGAAAAAATGTGCGAAAGAAAGGAAATGTGGCCAGCTATGTATATGAGCCCGTTCTATTTATGTACAGTATTAATACAAGTAAGCTGGTATGAAAAGGTCAGCATTATATGGAATCGGGAAGGCTGGTATGAGCACAGCAGGATTTTTTTTTCTGTAGGTTTCAAACAGCCTCTGATCATTGGGTCAGGTTTTCATTTCCATAGATAGCTATTATATGTGTACTATAACAGAAATACTTTTTTCTGTAAGAAAAGTAATGTTTTATGTAACTGAAATAAAGGCCGTGCAGGTTTACCTTGTAGTCTTCTGCTGTAGATTTCTACAATCCTGAAAAAGAAATTGTTGTAGTTAATCATACACTGAAGTGAAATGGCCGAGACTTCTTCATAAGATGTAAAATAATAACGGGGTGCAGGCAGGGCACAGTGTATGGAGAGGGAAGACACAAGCCCCCCAGGAAAAGGGGGCTAACAGTCTACTAAAGGGGAACCCCAGTCACTAACCCCTAGAAAGAGAGAGAAAGCCAGGGCATCTCTATGCACAGAGCTCACCTAGGACAAAGCCATTCAAGCTGAGTAACAAAATCTTAAAACTCACAGGTCATCAAGTTGAAGCTAAGTCTGAAGCACTCTAATTAATCTTATTGTTTTACTGAAGTTTAAAGTTCAGGTTAAAAATAAAAGGACTATTTGTTAATTAGTAGCAGGTCAACTTCTACCGCAGCTAAATCTCTCAGGGTGATCGGATTAGAGCAGATTAGATTTCTTCAGACATCTCTATGAAATGGGTTTGTTTGCAGAAGTACTTTGTATGATTAATCACCCCCAAGCAGCACCTCCCGATTCTGCATTGCAATCTGTCAGGTGAGAAACTCTCCCAGTATGCTTCTTACTCCTTGGTCAAACTTTCAGCGCTCCCACTCTTTGATACAGTTGCCTGCAAGTCTGCACCTCAGGCCGGCCTTGCAGCTTGCTTTCTCTTACCCTCAGCAACACCATGCTCCTTGGAATTTTACTTGTGGGGACTGGAGAAGTCCAGAAGAAAGATCGGAACTTCACAGTCTGACCACTGACATTTAACTCTGTGCCTACCTGGAAGCCGCCCCTGAGGGCCATCGTAGTTAAATTCCTGGCTTGGGATTTGGCAGCACTTGAGAACATAGCACTGGGCCCCTACTCCACCACAAAGTGACATCCCCATCCCTGTCCTGAGCTCCCTGAAGGCCACACGGGCACTGTTAATTCTGACCCCAAGCCTCAGGAATAATCCTGCCCTGATGCTGTTTTTACACAGGGTGGGGACAGTGAGGACTCAGCCCCGACTCAGGCTCCATTGTGGGCCACTTCCTATGACCTCTCCCTGACATCGCTGTCTGTCCCTCCTTGTACGAGACACCTCTCTTCACCACTCTCTCAACCCTGGTAGTTGCTGCTGATTTTAAAATAAGCCACTTGTTATCAGAGTAAACCTCTTTGGATTTGAAAGTTGTATTTCAACTAACCAGTTATAGTCCACCTTTTTGACATTTAGAATTCTTACAACTACATTCATAAATGACGTGGCTCTACATGTTAGCTGGCTTTACCAAATAAATCCCATAGCTTTACAGATTCTTCTCTGCTCCTGGTGATTAATATAACATAAAACTCAGTGGCTTTTTCCAATGAAAGGACATCTGTAAAACTGACTGTGTCCCAATCAAAAAGTGGGCAACTGAAATGAATACATAACCTCAGAAATGGCCAATAAATGCACCCAAAAAGTTCAGTTTCTCTGCCATTAGGTAAATGCAAATCAAAACAACACTAACCACTGAGCATGGAGGCTGAGGCAGGAGGATTCCAGTGTGTTTGAAGCCAGCCTAAACTACATAGTAAGACCTTATCTTAAAACGAACAAACGAAAAAACCCACTGAGATTCCATTTTACTCCAGAAAGAAAGGCCACTGTCAAGAAATCAAACGCATGCTGGTGAGGCTGCAGGAAAGGGAACGCTTCTTCCTTGTCAGCAGGAAGGTAAACCAGCACAGCCAAAATAGAAACCAACATAGAGAGTCCTCAGAAGCTAAAACTGGGAGGGGAATAGCTGGCTCCTATGGAATTTCTAGTTCTAGAGAGCAGTGCCCTGCCATTAAGAAGGAGGAATCCGAATCATCGGTAGGAGAATGGGTGCACCCCAAGAGCATAATTTTTTTAAATTTTATTAAATGTATTTAGTACAGGGCCTCACTATGCAGCTTGGGCTCATAGCGATCCTCCTGTTTTCAGCCTCTCCAGTGCTGGGATTACAGGTGTGCACCACCATGCCCGGTCTCGGTGGCCGGCTCAGCACGCCCAGGGACAGGGCCGGCGCGGCATGTGGTGCCAGGGATGAATCCCAGTCCCTGCATTTGCTTAAGCAGGCATTTGGTCCACTGACCTATCTCACCAGCCCTCTGAGGGCGTAATGTTAGGGGAAGCAAATCAGATGCACGAGCTTAGGTGCTGCAGGGTTTCCCTCGTATGAGAAACCCCAAGTATACATGAGCTAAAGAGCAAAATAGAGATGATACAGAGCAGGGAGACAGAGCCCCTGCAAGTGGGAAAGGGACCTGGGGAGGTCCCACACGCAGCCTCCCCCCGCGGTGATGTAACCCGTGTGCTCTAAATGTGGGCTAATAAACAACATACAACAAAAAGGAGAAAAAGGACGGGTCCTGCCCTTCCCGTCTCTGCGCTCTAGGCTTGCTAACGCTCAGTGTGTTCCCTTTTCTCACCATTTTATACACTGCCTGACGTGTTTAAGGCACACTGTTAGCTCCATATCCTCTCGTGTCTAACTATTACCACACATTCTCTCAATCAATTTAACTTTCCAGCAAGCTCTGCTACAAAATTTTCAACTCTAGGACCTGTCATTTTTTTTTTTTTTTTTTTTATTTTTAAGTTTTTTTTAGGCAGGGTCTCCCTATGTAGCCCAAGGCGGGCCTAGAACTCTCCACGTATCCTCCTGCCTCAGCCTCGTGGCTGCTGGGATTACAGATGTACATCTCCACACCCTGCTCTCCCATGGCTTTTAAAGTTAAATCCAACTGTTTCAAATAATTTAGAAAACCCCAAGGAATAAAATCATGGCAGGAGTGGTAGTGCATGCCTATATCCCAGCACTCAGGAGGCTGAGGCAGGAGGATTCACCAAGAACTCAAAGCCAGCCCAGGCTGCAAAGTGAGTTTAAGGCCAGCCTGAACTACATAGTGAAACCCTGTCTCCAAAAAAGTTAAAAAATAAAATAAAATAAAAGCAAGCAACCCAAAGAGAAATGAGAAAATCTCAGAAAGAGTTCAACTTCACACTATCACAGAAACTCAAATTAGGCTGGCGCGGGAGCTCCGTGGTAGAGGTTCCCTGCATACCTGAAGCTCTGGCTTCAACAGAAAAGAAAAAGGAAAAACTCAGATGAAAACAGCAGAGATCATTTTTACTTAGCAGCTAGCAAAGATTTAAAGGTGTTCTGACACCCAGCGTAAGCAAAGGTGCTAACGCTCAGCAGCACCTTCTGTTCTCATAGTAGAAGTCCGTGTGATCTTTCTGGGCAGCGACCTGGTCAAATTTTTGACAAAATACCTAAAGCAGCCCACAGGGCTCTTGGCTTGGTTTCCACTTTCTTCTGCAGTTCTAATAGGATTCCTGTACAGAGAGCCTCGTGGGAACAACCAGCTCCTTTGTGCTGCTGCAGGGAAGCCTGCTTCTTTGAGACCTGCCCCTCTCACCGGGAAGGAAATGAGCAAGATTCCCCCCCCCTCCTTCCCACTCACAGGTCCAAGCGTCCCAGGCTGGGGTCTTCCTGGCCCCTCAAGTGCTGGGCTGAGAGTGCAGGGGTCAGGAGAGGCCAAGGCCAAGGGTCCTGCATGAAGAACAACCTCAGAGAGCCAGAAGTCCAGCCTGAGGAAGGAGGGAGGGAGCGCAGGGGAGGCGGGAGGACGTCTGCGGGAAAGGCCAGAGTCCCTGGGAAGTCTGGCCTCCTGCAGGAGGCCCCACAGCTCTGCGAGGCTGGCCTACAGAACTCAGCGGGCGCTTTACCAAACTGTCGAAGCAGCCAGCTCCAAGACGGCTGCTGCCAGTCACAGTGGCTCATGAAACTGATTTTACTTAATATCTGGGAGCAGGTCCCCAGAGAGAGCTGCTACTTCAGAGGACAGTGAGACCCATGGCTGGATGAGCAGCCCCTGAGTGACAGCCCCCGGGTGACTGGGGCGAGGCCACAGGGCCCTGCTGCCTGGGTGCTCAGCAGATCCAAAGACAGCAAGGCCGCTGGCAGGATGAGCCCAGGCAGCAAGGAGACAAGAGCATTTGCCCCAGCTGTTCACCCTAAAGCCCTGAAGAGAGAGGGAAGGGCCTACAGGGTGCGGCCAATCACTGGCAGGGCTCCCTGGATCCCAACGCAGCACCAGAGAGGACAGGGCCCCGGGGAAGCACACAGCAAACCCCAGTGTCTCTGTGGGGAAGGCACAGGCCCTCAACAGCCACAGAGTGAGTCAGTTGGTCTCAGAAATTCATTTGCTCCAGTTGTGCTAGGGTCACTACGATCTCAGTCAAATTATTCAAACTTGTTTAATTAACTAATTAATTTGTTTATTTATTTATTTAGAGACAGGGTCTTGCTGTGTAGTCCAGCCTGGCCTTGAACTTGTGGTAGTCCTCCTGCCCCAGCCTCCCGAGTGCTGGGATTACAGGTGTGTACCACCAAATTTAGTTTTAAACATCCCAACTATCTGCTCATGAACGACCCCTTCAATCTGTTCCTAAATTTTCTCTCAACACACATGCGCCTTTCCCACCATTCCGACTGGCACTCAGGGCTCACTATCCCCACAAACAACACAGAAAAGGATTTTAGGGGCAATAAAATCTTGGTGGTCGTGGCCTCTCCGAGATCCCTAAACTGAGACCCTCCATCAACTTCTAGGGAAATACAGGGGCCAGGCATGTGTATTAACACTACTTCCAGGCAAACTTTTATAGGTAAGCAGGATAAAAACTCAAAAGAAGACGGCAGCAGAAAAGGGGGAAACTGGATAGCGCGCCTTGCCTGGGAATCGGAGCACAGCCCGCTATCGAGGTGAAGGACCCAGAAGGGAGGACAGGCTCCAGGATCGGGGCTCCAGGGACCCCTCAATCGAGCACAGGTGCAGA